ACTCTCCATTTGGAAATGTACCTTAACTACCGATTATTAAGCCAGCTTTCCCTAGAGCTAATTTACAAAATTTCCCAGTGCACAGTAATTGAGAAAAGGAAAAATTCCACTGGAGCCATTAAAGGTCCTGGGGGCTGGAGTTAAGGATTACGTTGCTCATTATGGACAAGAAGAACAAGAAAAAAAGGATTACTAAATACAAGAGAATTCCCTGGTGTGTGGGCTAGAAACCTTACTATCAAGCCCTCATTGTATCATCATACAAAATACGTATGTCATTTTTTTTTTAAATCACTTCAGTGACTGCATCACAAAGTCAAATCAGATACACAGTATGTAAAAAAGTGATATTTATTCATTTGTGAAATGCAGCAAGGAGAGACCTTTGTAAGATTCTTTGTGGCTGGGCATGTGTGATTAATCTGCTAGTAGATAATTATCTGGTATACAGAAGTTACAGATGCTTCCTGTTAAGTAATAAAAATACAAGCTTTCCAAAAAATATGACATCACATTCTCTAGAGTAATGTTTCTCAGCTTCAGCAACTTTATCACCACTCTAGAGCATGGATGTCCAGAGTTCAGGCTTACTTTATTTTTATTAAAATTCCAAAATCCACAATCCATCGCCTGCTGCAAAGTACATGTGCTTAGAATTAAAATATTCTGAAGCCAAGGTTTGTTTTGAGTACCATGATTGAATGGGATTCATATTCGTTGCAGACCAAAAAAAAATCTTACTTCAAGCTTAATTTCAGAGATCTAGCTTCAAGTGAAATTATTGCTGCTGTTCCAGACATCTCTTTTCTTCTCCATCCTTGTATTAAGGAATGCACAGAAAACCTATAGTAGGTCATGGCAGGCCTTGTATATGTTGGGGGGGGGGATTATTTTCACCTAAAGTTATCTAACAAACAAATAACCAACAACCCAAAGCAGAAAATGAGTATCAATTTCAACTAGATGGACAAAGCATATAGATGAGCTTCATTTAATGCACCTCAATCCTAAACATATTTTAGTTAAAGGCACAGTCCAATTCATATCTGTGTGTCTCCTGTGTAATGGTCCTTGAATGGCTTAGTCTTTCTTGTTCCACTCTGAACCCAAGACATTACCAAGAAGTACCAAATTTTGTTAACTATAAAAACTGTTTGCTGCTTATCTTTCCTGGATGTTTTTCTTCTGGCACCCCTTCTTTCCCACCAAGTTCCTGGGATCCCAGACCGCATTAAGAATAATCCTCCTTTGCTTCTCTGTAGATGTTTGTGTGTGATAGTTTGTACAAGGAAGGAGAAAGGAAGCAATATATTTTTAAAAACCTTCTAATAACCTGTTATTAGACACTGATGTACATGCAATCATCTTTTGCTCTCTTTAATTTCACAGCCCCTTTGAAACAGCTGCTCCATTGCAACTTGCACATCTAACTGAAAAGGAAATACATCACTAGCTGTCTGCCTTAAACTAGTAGAAAGTATTTATGAGCTGTTTTTAGTGACCTTCATACAGCCCTGATACGCTGGGTAGTTTCTTGTGCCAAAATTTCTCAGACAAGGTTATGTTAACCCAAATCAACCTCATTCCTTCAGTCACATTTGAAAGCCTGAGCAGCCCAAATTAATACTAACATTAATATCATCAATCCATTTAACAATTGATTAATGCACTCTATATGAATTCCATCTACTTCTTACTTCTGGAACAAATGGTAGGCTATAATTGTCTGAATTAGCCTCTTTAATCCATTCCATATTAGATACCTACATTTTATTTTACATGCAGGGAATCTGGAAAATTCTAATTTCATTATGAATCCCTCAATAAATATGAGAGTTTTTTTGTAAACATTAGTGTATATATTCAGTTCCAGGGGGAAACTTCCTGATATTTGTAAATGCTTGGTGATCAGAAACCATAATTAAATAGGGAAATGTGTTGATCATTTCTGAAACTGTGATCAATCTTAAAATTAATATATTTTTTAATCTGAGCATATCTGAGCACACACTTCTTATTGATGCCTATAGTTAAATGGGTTACACCCTTTTCCTGAATCCATCCATTCTTAATGGCAGGGGCCACCCAAAAATCATACTCATTTTATCTTCCATATTATGCAGGACAATGTTAAACTTATCAAGAAATGCAATGGAAGCTCATATAATGCTTCAGTGACAAAAGGAACAAACTTAGGTCATTTTGGAGATTACACAGTGGAACTGTATCTAAAAACTTAATCAAATAGAATAGAATAGAATAACGAAAGTAGGTATAGATGTTTGTTGATTTCTGTTATTCTAAGCTTTGGAAAATGACCAAAAATGAGAAGTCACTTCAAAATACCAAACAACTTGCTATCTAGCATGCCATAGTAGATTCAAACATGCTGTTTTTCCTATGCATGCTTCTAAAATACACACTAATCTCATATTCTGGCAGATTGCAGCTTGTTTTTTTAAAGTATTAAGCAGATTGCAATAGTTAATTAATTTTATAGTACTATATCATTACATATATTCTACACTAACTAAAAGTCAAATGGTGTAACTATATGACTGTTTACTTTCCATTGCCATTATAAACAATATTTCTATTAATTGTGACCATATGGATGTATTACTTTTCTCAGATAATCTTACAGTATTCTTTAATCAAATTGCATTCAATGAGAATTTTCAAATTCAGTTATAGAGATGTATGTCTGGTGTGTTTCTTGGATAGATGTACAGAGCAAGTTCAATAAACTGTAGCTTCATGTGAATGAGTACAAGACAGTAATCTTACGTTCTTGGGTTTATAATAATTTATATCCTGAACCTTACTGTTCTGAATACAGTTCAGCATGAGATTAGGCTCACTTTAACAAATTTGAGAAAGCTGGTTATATGATAGATTCTGGCAATTATGAGTATATGTGATTTTTCTCATTTCAGTCTGTTTTATTCCCAAATATCGGTGTGGTCCTCTTTTATTTAACCTATGATAGCTTTGTTATTTATTTCAATGGATCTAGATTACCCCCATGTGGGATGAACAGGATGCCAGCTCCTATATTTAAAAAATGCTGTATAGACAAAATCAATCTAAACCCATAATATCCATTACTGGAACTGATCTTTCTAGAATCTCTTATAGTATATAGTATATACTATATAGTATATTCTATTTTTCTAGAATCTCTTTCATATATTATACTTCCAGTTGTACACATACATTATTTCCTGAATTATTCTCTGAAATTCATAAAAAATGAATTCCTTGAATTAGATCATCTGCTCAAATTTGAAATTCGCTGCACATTTTAGCTTAGCAGGTTGTGTCAACCCAGCTTTCATCTTTGTACAGATTATCCTGTTGGTCTGTTACTGAACTGATATGACAAAATGTAGGGTGGATACAAGTAATTTTTAATTCCATTATTTACAAACGCGTAGTTTAATCTGTAATACAATTTGGCAACCAGTTTCAGTTTTCAATGGATTTATCTTAGTATAAAATGGATTTGCTTCCTAACAAATACGTAATGGGCAAGCTGGTCCGGTTCTTGCTCCAGGTCCTTTAGATTACATCTCCCATAAGCCTCACAAACATTATCGATGACTTGGGACTCTGCAAAGTGTAATCTAAGACATCTGGGTGGCATCAGGTCGCCTAGCAATTTCATGGACGTGTTGCAAATGAGTGCAAATGAATTTTAAAAAGGGCTCAGATTCAATATTATAACATGTGGTCTTTGTTCTCATATTCATGCTAAATTCAGGTTTTCTTTAAACTGAAACTGCCTTTGTACAACAGGCCTCACCCCGTCCGCCTGACACACACACCACACCACTCCCCGCCACGCCAAGCCAAGCCAGGCATTAACCCAGGCCTTTTCCCAGCTTTGCAGAATCAACCCTTCCCCAGCCCTTTCAGTCTCAGTTCACACTCCCCCTTCTTATCGCGAGATCAAGCGACGTGATTTAACTACAAAGTACTCTTATTGTATGGGACGCCGATTCCGTTCAGCCCCACTTGTCACCGCGAAAGGGTGGGTTGGTTCGTGGGGCAGGTCGGACTAGAAAGGGAACTTCCTTTCACCTCGCCAAAGTGCTGTAAAATAATACAGCTCGGCCAAAAGAAGTGGCCGACCGGGCGAAGGAGAGCAGGGAAGGGATTTGGAATGGGCAAACTGTGCCCGGTGAACCCAGGAAAAAGGACCCGCTTAGGAGTTTATGTTATTTTAAGTAGACTCGAGCACTAATCGTATCGGTGCGGAGCCAAAGCAAGGTTAGCAGGAGAGGCTCCGAGCCCGTCAAGGAAGGCAGGCAGGCAGGCAAGCCAGCCAGCCCTTTTCTCCTCTCCCCGGACCCCCACTCGTTGGCCGGCCACTTAGGCTCCCTTCCGCGGAGGGTTCCCGCCTCCTGTCATTGAGCGCTTTAGCAAAAGGCCTCGCTAACTTGAAGAAAAAGCAGGAGGAGGATTAGGCCTAGCGAGGGAAAGGCATCCCCGCCTGCAAATCCCCAGGCAAAGAGCTTGTTATCCGCTGCCCGGGTGAGGCTCTCCATAATCATCATTCCCCCAGCAAGCAAAGAGGGGGGTGGGGAATGTTAATAGGTCTGTCACTAGCAATAGGGAGCAGGGAACCGAGCCGGCGATTGTGGCAGGGCGCGGGAGGCGAAGGGGAGGGAAAGGGGGCAATTTAAACGCGCCGAGAGGGAAGGAAACGAAGGCAGCCAATTTGTAGAACCTGCGCCTCGTCAGGGCTGCTCGGGGCCTCCACGTTTGGTTTCTGATTGGGAAGCGTGTGGGGGGGGGGGGGGGGGGAAAAAAAAGAAAGCCGCGGGACGGGGGGGGGGGAGGAGGCGGCCCAGGGCCGGGGTCAGGATAACAATCGGGAGGGAGGAAGGGAGTGGGGGTGCGCTGGTCAAAGGAAGGCCGCCGCTGGATGGACGGGCAATTCTCCTTGGCTGTAAAGAGAGAAGGAAATCCTCCCAAGCGAGGTCTCGGTTGATGCCTTCTGCATCGGGAACCGGCACACCTCTTCGCTGGGGTCGAGACATCCCGGAAACCAGGTCCCTCCGGCCTCGGAAGGCGATCTCCGGTAACGGGGCGGGAGGCCAGGCGGAAGAAGGGCGGCGGGGGCAGCTAGGTGCGGCGGGATCAATCAAAGGGGGCCAGGCTTTCCCCAGCACCACCACCACCCCCGAACGCCCAAATCTCGGTGCGTCTCTGGCTCGCCCGCGCTCTCTCCCCCTCGACAGCGTTTCCCACCCTGCTTGACGTCAGAAGAAACTTCGTGAAGATCTCCCGGAGAAAAAGCCTAAAGCCCCCTGCTCGGGCAGCGCGTACCTGACTGGTGGGCTCTCGGACAGGAGCAGGCGGGGCCAGGCGCTGCAGGGCCACGAGGGAGCGAAAGGGAAGGGCCTCCCGAGCGCCCACCCGGCCGCCCTTCTCAACGCAGGGCTCCGCCAGCGGAGTCTACATGGGACCCCGGGAGTAGTGCCCGGAGCGCTCTGAGCGGAAGCGACCCAATCTTTTCTTGGCTGGGAATAAATACCGTCAGCGAACGAGAAGATATCGAGACACCCCGGTAAGCGCTTCTCGGGCGAGGCGGGCGCAAGGGACGGACTGGAGGGAGAACTGCGGGATTCCGCCGCAGCCTCCGGGGAACTTGGATTTCTCCGTTAGTTTTTGGGGGATATTGGGAACAGTTCTCCTTTGCCCCCACGCCCCGCCCGATCCCAGTCCTTGTATCCCCTCCCTACTTAAGCTCCCTCTCCTAACCCCACTGACTTATGGGGTGCGGAGACTTGGGGGGGGGGAGTGTTGTCCTCTGGTCTTGTCTTCCTGTCATACTTCAAAAGGTATGAACTAGTCCGCGACCAAGAGAAATTCTCCTTTAACTCCTCCGAGCGGATTTGCTCAGCGCCCCGTCTAGTCGCGCCAGAGCTTTGCAATCTCCTCCCCGGTGAGGGAAGCTACCGATCGGCTGGGTAACCCGGTCCGCACTCCGCTCCCTTCCCTCTGCCTCAGCACTTTTCCCCTCACTCCCAAGTCGTCGTCCCCTCGGCTTCCCTAATTGCAGCCTGGGTTTAGCCTTGAAGTTGCAAGTCCTTGACATCTTTATACCTTGTGTAAATTCTCAAAGGTTCCTGCGCTTCGTCAAAGCTGACAAATATACCCGAAAAAATATAATTCCAAGGGGGTTACCTCATTTTGCATAAGGCAAAGTCTGAAATCAAACAGAACGCCTTTGGCTTAGGGGAGACTCTCGGTGGGACTGTCTAGCGTCAAGGTTGTGAAGAACAATTTTATTCCCTGCTGCTCCCGCTGGATCAGCGTGACAAGGAGCACGCTGGGACGTCGCTAATAAACGTTATATTTTTATGGAATTCGGTTTTCTTTTATGGCAACAGCTACTTGATCTTGGAATGTGGGATTATGTATATTTCTATCACACATTCGAGTATTTTGCAATGGAAAAAGACTAATTTAATGTAATATTTCACAGGTGTGTTTTTCTAGAGGTTATGAGAATCCAAACGATTTTCTTGCAAACAGCCATTTTTTTTTCTGCCAGATTTCGATAATTTGCCCAACGTGGATTTTTATAAGCCAAATAGAAATAAAGAAATAAAGAAATTTCAATCCTTGCAAAGACAATTTTAATAAAGAGAAATTAATCTTAACAGGAAACATTTTAATTTAAAAAAATACAAAGGCTCAGGCAAACGTAAAAGTTAATTAAAAGTATTTATTTATATGGAGGAAATCAAACTTTCCTTATTTAAATTAAAAGTCTAAACAGAAATTATGGTAATAATAAGAGCAGAAATAAGTTGATTGCAGAATTCAGAGTTCGACAGAAATTGCTGCCATGTTAAAATACTGTTCCTTATAATAGAAATTCCTCCTTAGTTTGGCTTTTTGGATTCTACATATAGTTTAAGACAGAATACTTAGATTTAAGCAGATTTAGATTTAAATCATTCTTCTTTAACTTAAAACATACACATGTTGATAGTACATCTTGGCATTATTTCAATGGATCCGTATTTGTTTGTTTAGGAATACAGTTTTACTTGGAAGTAAATCCCATTTCTACCAAGGGTACTTGCTTTTTAACAAACATATGTTTCAAATTGGAGTGCCAATCCCACAATCAGTTTAAATCCAAACACAACTCTGGCTTAAATGGACTGTGGATTTAAAATACTTCTTTCCTTGAAATAAAACAAGTACACAAGCAATTATTGTAGCCAATCAACAATTGACATGTTTCTTTGGAATATGACAGTTTGCTCCCCACCCCACTCCCCAAAGCTGTATATCTCAATACCTGCCTTTCTGTGACACAGTTTTCAATCTGTTCATGTTGATCTAAAAATATCATGTAACCTGACAATGTATGATATTAAACTTTATACTGGAAGAAGGGGAACACTTTCCTATCAATGCACTGAGACATATAATGTTTCCAATATTGGTTGTAAAATAAACTGGAATCTGTTGTTATAATATTAGCTTTTTCTGCCAACAGCCTGCCGTTGGCATTATATAATATTTAGGGTTTTTTTAGTTTCAATTGTTCACTTTTGCTTTATTTTCTATTTCCTGACTATCGCCTAGTTCAGAATTACTCCACTAGGTTCCCGTAGTCTGCAAGCTTTCTGGAAATCTGTTCCTACTCCCGCTCCATTAATACTCCATTAGGTAATAGTCCTGGGAAAAATTCAAGAATTTTCTACTCTTTGGGACCTAAGATTGACAAATAATTGAAAGTGAGAATTCCCACTGTTCGTTGTAGGTAGCATTGATATAATTCTCAGAACATACCCCTTTGGAATAAAGTTAGCATATTTGCTTGTGCCCCTGGGGGATTCCCGTGTGACAGAGATTTAAAAGGAGTTGCTGGTAAGAGACTTGCCACAGCCATTTTAAAACAGGATATTGGCCTCCCATTTCACTAGCAGCACTGGCTCTCCCTACCAGATAAATCCTGGCCAGAACCCTTCCAGGTCCCCTTGTCTTCCGCCAAATCGAACTGAACCTGATAGACATCAGAGGGACAACTGAGCTGGTTTTTGTTTAGGACAGCTGGACCGGCTCCCTCATAGCTGAACAAGGATGGTTGGATCACGCTATGAATCTCTAGTGAGCAAATGGCCTAAGAAGGACTTAAATTCAGCACTAAAAATGGAGAGTGTTTCTCCCTCCCCCACATCTTAAAATTTACTTTATTGAATGTTGGCCTTTCCGGGGTATTTCAGTTAAAAAGGGATCTCCCAGACAAAAAAGGGTGCTCCGGTTTTGTTTTTTTAAGTGGCTTTTTTTTTTTTGGCGTTTATATTATTATTTCTGGCAAAGCAAACCCTATAAAATAGTTATTTAATCACGGTGTGTTTTGTTGTTCACAGAGTTTGTGCTATGGAGCTCGGTCGGTCCAAAAGTATCCCTCCCTATACGGATTTAGGTAAGATTGGGTATTTTCGCAGTTGGGCGGAGTGGGGCAAAAAGGGGTTTCGAAGTATGAGATCCGCGATTCCTTTCGCGCCCTGATAAAGCCCGAGAAAGCTCAGTCGTGATTCAAATTCGTCGCTTATATTTGCTTCCAGTCTCCCGATTCCACAGGCCCGGTGTCAGCGGCTGAGTGCCCCGGCTCCTGCTCCTCCCCACCCATCCCACTCCCCAGTCCTTTAGCGAGTGATTACCTATATTAAGATCAAGCGGTTTTTACGAGGCAACCACGGAAACGAGCGGTGCAGAAGCAACTCATGTTTTTGTCACGGTTTTGGCTCTCCGGGGCTGTTGCTTCCGTGTCTGAAGGCACCCAGAGCCAAGTGACGCACCGGGTCTGATGACCCAGGTCAGGCGATCTGAAAAGGGCTCATTTATCTCAAGGGGAACGCGTGTTAGCTGGTACCTATCGGTGGTGCCACCCGGTTTGCAGTGCCTTCCGGGGTGGGTGCCCCTCCCTGGGATTGTCGCGGCTTGAAGTTTCCAGTGTTTCCCTCCTCGAAGGGCAAAATCCGGCGAAGTCCCGAATCAGATCGAACTGCCTGATCTAGATTTGTGTTTGTGCTTGTTTTCGTTGAAATGATTGTTTTTCTTTGAGGCCGCGTTTTTACTGGAAGGTCCTACAGTTGAAGTTTGGGGGAAATGTCTATCATTGACCTTGATGAGTTTTTAATCTCATTTTCTCCCCATCAGAAACTTTTGTTTTCTCCGCTTCTTTTCATTTAACGTCTTAGGTTTTCCTCCTCCCCACAAAACTGAGCCGGTTCCCCGACGAAGCTTCATTATTTATCTGCTTGGGGCAGGAAATACGCCGGCTGTCCCAAGCCTCGAATTTACTTTGAGCAGTGGGCATTATTAGAAGACTTCAGCTATTCGGGGAAATGTCCCGTTAAGAGAGAATTTCTTCCCCACTCCCATCCAACTCCAAATATGCCAGCAATTAAAAGGCTGCTCGAATTAATCATGTATAAGGAGGATGGTTGGGAGGGGGGAGGGAGGGGGGGAGAAAGCGTGGAGATGGTGGAGGGGATGCAGAGATAGACCCAAAGGGGAAATATAATCTCTGGAGGTCCTGTCGCCTTTCTTTTCAGCCTGGGAAAGGGCCCTGACGGAAAGGAAAAGCTGGCTCTTCGGCCTTTGATTACACTGGATCAGAGAGAGACTGTTAATTCAACACATACCCCGCACGCCCACAAAAGCGCTCCAAGTTCAGAGATGCCCCGAGTAACCTGAGCAGCCCGCTTAACAAACTCTCTGCCCCCTTTTCTCCATGCATACAATTAATCTAAAAGGCATGTTCCCCGTGGGGGAAAGCCAGGAATTCTCCAGGGCTCCCGATCCTGCTGTCCTTCTTCCCCACTCTCCCGAGAGGTTTTTCTGCCTCTCCTTCCCACCCCTTCCCTCCAGAAGCCCTTCTTCTCCTCTGCAGACCGAGAATACTGGCTCGGCCAAGGACCGCTGTTGGCCCTGGAGTGGTGGGTAGGAAATTGCCTGTGGAGCCGAGACAAGAACTACGTGGGGTTCGATTTCATTTGCATGGAATTCACATTAAACGTGGTTCACGTGATTACTTTCTCATGTATGCAATTATTTCTTCCTTCGGCTCCATTACAGATCGCATGGTCCCAAGTCTGGGAGGTCCCTGGAAGCCATGCCCAAAATAAACCAATGAAGCTGGTCTGGGCAAACGGGTTGGCTGCTGTGGCCCTAAGGCTGTGTTTCTCCTTGAAGACTATTTGGTTGGTGTCTTTTAGTGAGGCCCTTGGCTCCATGGAATCGGACTCCGCAACAGGAGCAAGTCTAGACCCAAAAGGGTAGCCTCGTAATCCAGAGCTGAGTTTTTAAGCAGGTTATAACTAAATTCGGAAGGATTTGATGCCAACAAGCTTTGCCACAAGCTTTGTCAATTGGTATCCTCCACGGAGGGTTTGATCTTATTTTCCACTGAATGAAAAGGTGGCCTTTGCTTTCCTTCTGATAACAATTCTTCATTGACTGCATTTCCATGTCAGCAATTTATAGCATCACCCTGCCATTGTTCTGGCAATGCGTCACTGACGCCTTCTGCTTAATACTACTTCCATCTTAGCTAGATGTCCCATTTTAAAAGGGGGGGGAGGGTTTCCAGGTTTGTAGTGTTAATCCTATTTGACATCATTTCCAAATTGTCCAAGATGGAAGTGGAAGGCTACCATGACTAGCCTGTTTGCCCATATTTAAATATTGGACTTTTTTTGAGGCAACCTCAAGTCAGCAGATGATTTTACCAAATCAGCCTATGGCACCCCGATATCTCTCTCTATACAAGCTGCTACCGCCTTCTAGATGTTTTGAGCTTCGACTCCTCTCATGCTCAGCCAACATAGCTGATGGGCATGATAGGAACTAATGCCCATCCCAAGAACTCCCAAGTTCGTACACGCAGTTGTTCTTCCGCATTTTAGACCGGATTCAGGAACATTTTCCAATTCACCTAGGTAATTTCAGGAACTGATTAGCTACGCTTCCTGTTGCTAAGTCTCCCTGGGACTCTTAAGACCATCCCTTAGATGTTTTCTCACCTTCTCTTTGTTTTCTGTCTTTAAAAAAAAACAACACGAATGAGCGATCCAGGCCTTTGTGGATCTCTTCCCCCAAACTTTTCGGTCTGGCTCCAAACCTGCCACCCTCCTTCAGGTTTCAGAAAGGAAGGTTGGGGTTGTTTTTTTTTTTTGTTTGTTTGTTTGTTTTTGTTTGTTTGTTTTTTCCCAGCGGAGCGCTCTAGAAATGGTCTGCAGCGGCGGGCCGGGGCCTTAGGCTGTTCATAGTTGCTTAGTCTTACGGTAGAAACTGACCGCTGTAAAGGTAAAGGTGTCGCTAGTTGCCTTCTTTGGGGCGCTTTTCTGTTTGTTTGCTTGCTTGCTTGCTTGTTTATTTATTTAGGGACTTCCTGGTCTAACCAGGTGGTCCCTATCCAAGTGCGGGCTAGGGCCGCCTCGGCTGAGTGGCTGAGATCACCCAAGAGCTCTCTGGCTTCAAGTGAAGGAGGATCAGCGCAGCCGGCCGTTTGTCCTTCGAAAATAAGCTTTGGGGTGTTATTTGTCTCTGTCCAAAAAAAAAAAACCCTTAAACTTCCCATTTCTTAGCCCTTGCTGTTTCTTACCTTTCCCCCCAGATTTTGTTCGGGGCTGCCAGTGTATTATTCAAAATCTCTTTCTCCCCGCTTCCCCCCTCCCCGTCCCTTCGGAGCAGACCTACATGCTTGGGGGTTGCTCCTCTTTCCAGCCACGCTTCCTCGGGACTTCCCCCCGCTTTCCTTGATATTCCTGCAGGAGGGAAGGGGGGAAGCTCCCAGCTTGTGGTACAGAGTGGGAGTGGGGGGGGGCGCGAAGGTCTCCAGACCCGGCCGAAAGCGGGAAGATAGGAAGGTGCTCCTTTAGGCCCATTTTGTTCTTTCATCGTCGTTGATCTGACCCTCTTCGTCTAGCAATGGCACCTGGACCGCCGAGTCGGCCAGACAGAGGATGCCCTCTTTCCCTCCTTCCCCTGCCTCCGGGAGCGCGCCCTCTAAAAGGCAGGGGTTTCCAAACAGGGCCGCGGCTTCGCCGGAGGAGTTCAACTCCTGGCCGGGAGAAAGGGCCACCCATCCGCCAGTGAGATCCAGAGCCTTGGCGCTCCCACAAGAAGCCCCCTTGGCGCTCCCACAAGAAGCCCGGCACTGAGGCGGATCCCCGCGATAGCTTTTCTCTCTCTCTCTCTCTCTTCTCTCTCTCTTCTCTCTCTCTTTTCTCTCTCTCTCTTTCTCTCTCTCTCTCTATTTTTCTCTCTCTTTTTTTTTCTCTCTCTCTCTTTTTTCTCTCTCTCTCTTTCTCTCCCTCTCTCTCTCTCTCTTTTCTCTCTCTCTTTTTCTCTCTCTTTTTTTTCTCTCTCTTTTTCTCTCTCTCTCTTTCCCCGGGTGATTTTGCCCAGCCGTCGTGAGCAAGCTCTACAGCGGGCATGGTGGACCGTGCAAGCAGCTGAGGGGAAGCCAGGCCAAACTCAAGTTAAAAAGGAGCTCTGGCTCCGAAATCACCACCGCTGCTTTTCTGGCAAGTGGCTTCGACGGAGAGCCGCCAAAGGGGATCACTTTCAGGTCGGTCGCCCTGGGCCTCGGAAAGCTCTTCCTCTTGGCTCTTCCCAGCACTCCTGAAGGGAAAATGCTCTCGAAAAGGCCTGGCTGCCTGCCCTGACGGCGATCGCTTGGACGGGACACCCCCCACCCCTCCATCTCCCGCCGTCTAGCAGGCCAAGAGCCTCGGGGCGGGGCGGTCAGCTTTCAGCCGCCTTGGGAGGAACTGGGCTCCGAGCGCCACGGCCCACCCGCGCCGAGCGGGCTGCCTGCCCTAAAGAGCCACGCCGCGAAAACGCGTTTAGCCTGCCTGTTCCTTCGGGGGAGCTTCCTCCCGTCTAATCCCACCGAAAGGCTTCACTTTGCAAATCTACTTCCCGGGCCCCGGAGAGAATAAGAAAGAGTGGGAGTCGTTAAGATGGCAGCTTGAAGGGAGGAGGGGGCGATTGCCCTTTGTGCCCTGCTGGACGCTCCACAGAGGTGGTTCACTTTTGCCCCCCGCGCGCGGAGTGGCGACTTGGCTCTTAGTTCAATGGCGCGAGGTGGATTCTTTGCTTTATTTTCACGGGGCTATCTTAAATTTCAGGGGCCTGTTTTGAGTTTTGAGTGTGCGCGAGGGCGTTCAAACTACAGATGCCACCATGCCTTGAATCAATGTCATTATAGCGCGGCCTAGCTATCAAAGTAAAGATGGGTGGGTGGAGTTTACAACATTAGTTTAGTGTGTTGTATGTGTTCTGCCAATACTGCAGAAAGCGCACAAACTCCCGCGTTATGAGAGGCTACATATTATAATATAAGCGTGCAAGTGTGGATACTGTACATAATGGAAGCAAGGGTGGTTTTGCAGAAGGTATGGAGAGGAATTG